ATGAGAGTCGTTGATGCAAATGGGAGATTAATCTTGAAGGCTCATATGTCTCAGAATCAAACCTTCAAGATTGAACTAAATGTGATGGAGCACAAGTGCCTTTCGACTGCAGCCAGCAGAGATGAATGGATATGGAATTATAGACTAGGCCATCTCAACTTCAGAGATATCAGAGATTTGAAGAGAAGAAATATGGTTTCAGGATTGCTAGAAATTGACATTCCAAACGAGGTATGTGAGGAATGCGTGCAGGCGAAACAACACAAGAATAGCTTCAGCAAGGATACAGGAAGCAGATCGAAGGCTAGTCTTGAAGTCATATACTCTGATGTATGTGGACCAATCCAGGTGGATTCGATGGGAGGTAACAAATACTTTGTTACATTCATAGATGATTTCAGTCGAAAGCTATGGACTTACCTGATCAAGAAGAAAAGTGAAGTGATCGAAGTATTTACCAAGTTTAAGTCTATGGTCGAAAGATAAAATGGTCGAAAGCTCAAAGTTTTGAGAACTGATGGTGGTGGAGAATATGTGTCGAAAGACTTCGACAGATTATGTGAAAAGGAAGGGATTGTGCATGAGGTGGTGCCACCCTATACTCAACAACAAAATGGAATTGCAGAAAGGAAAAATCAAACCACCATGAATATGGTGAGAAGTATGTTGAAAGGCAAGAATTTACCTAAAGAGTTTTGGGGTGAAGCTGTTTCGACTGCAACATACATTTTGAACAGATGTCCTACAAAGAAGCTAGAAGGAATTACTCCAGAAGAATGTTGGTCTGGTGTGAAGCCTAGATTGAGTCATCTGAAGGTATTTGGATCTATTGCACATAGACATGTGCCAGATCAGTTGAGAAGAAAACTTGATGATAAGTCAAGTCAAATGATTCTAGTTGGATATCATTCGATAGGAGGCTACAAGTTGTTCGATCCAGTGAAAAAGCAGATTGTGATCAGCAGGGACGTGATCATAGATGAGTTTAAAGAATGAGATTGGACTGAAAATATCAAGAAAGATTCAGTGGGAATCCTTCTTGAAGAGCCAGAAACTCAAGTCGAAAGAGAAGTTCGACAAGAGGAACCGGCAAATATACTAAGTACAAGCAGGCCTCAAAGAACAAGACGCATGCCTGCAAGATTGTGTGATTATATCAGATGATGTAATAGATAATGAAGGTGAGCTGGTACATTATGCTTTCTATGCAGATGTTGAGCCTGTTAATACAGTTGAAGCATTAAAGGATTCAAAGTGGGTGAAAGCAATGAATGAAGAAGTAAAGTCTATCGAAGACAACAACACTTGGTCACTTGTCGAATTGCCTCAAGGCAAGAAGGCAATTGATTTCAAGTGGGTATACAAAGTGAAAACGAATTCGAAAGATGAAGTAACTCGACACAAATAAAGACTTGTGGCGAAAGGATTTCTACAGAAAGAAGGAATAGACTTCGTTGAAGTTTTTGCACCTGTTGCTAGGATTGAAACAATCGGGTTGATTGTTAGTCTAGCAGAAATAAACAGTTGGCACATATGTCTGATGGACGTGAAGTGTGCATTCCTAAATGTACCCTTAGATGAAGAAGTCTATGTTAAACAAACAGTTGGGTTTGTGAAACATGACAAAGAAAGAAAGGTGTACAGGCTACATAAAGCCCTGTATGGATTGAAATAAGCTCCAAGGGCTTGGAATAAGAAAATTGATAGTTTTCTAAGGGAGAAGGAATTTGTGAAGTGCACAACTGAACATGGAGTATATGTAAGAAGAAGCAAGAGTAAATTGCTTATACTATGTCTCTATGTAGATGATTTGTTGATAACAGGTAGCTGTAAAAGTGAGATCGAAGACTTCAAAGGTGATCTCAACAAAGAATTCGAAATGTATGATTTGGATGAGATTTCATATTTCCTTGGTATCGAATTCTACAAGAGCAGTAGAGGTTTGATGATGCATCAAAGAAGATATGCAGGAGAAATTCTCAAGAGGTTTGAGATGGAAGAATGCAACTCAACTTCGACACCTGCAGAACCAAGACTGCAACTGTCGAAAGATGCAGATGAAGATGATGTTGATCCAACCCAATACAGAAGACTTATTAGATCATTGAGATACCTTTGTCATACAAGGTATGACTTAGCATATAGTGTAGGTATGGTAAGTAGATTCATGCAGAAGCCAAAGGTATCACATCTAGCAGTAGTGAAGAGGATACTAAGGTATCTCAAAGGAACTTTCGATTATGGAATTTTGTTTCCTGCAGTTGATAAAGAAAAAGAATGCAAGTTAGTGGGATACACTGATTTGAGTTGGTGTAGTGATGCTGAAGATCGAAAGTCAATAGCAGGATATGTGTTTATGCTAGGTGGTGCACCAGTTACTTGGAATTCAAGAAAGGAATCAGTAGTGGCATTATCATCATGCGAAGCAGAATACATAGCTGCTTCTCTTTGTACATGTCAAGCAACTTGGATGGTGAACTTGGTCGAAGAGATAACAGGAAAAAATTATGGAGCAATTACCATGAAGATCGACAACATGTCAGCTATCAATCTGGCGAAGAATCCAATAGCACATGGTCGAAGTAAGCACATCGAAATGAGGTTCCATTATCTTCGAGAGCAGGTAGCAAATGGGAAGATGAATTTAGAACACTGCAGAACTGAGAATCAGATTGCAGACATTATGACGAATGGAGTGCAAGTTGAAGTATTCAGAAAGCTAAGAGCCATGATGAACATAGATAGTTTAGACATAATGAATTAGGTGGTGTGTTAAATTGTAATCTAGTGTGTCGAAACTATGTGTCAAAAATATTTGATTTGTTTTAGATTTAAGTCTAGAATAAATTAGATTTGATTTGGTAACAAAAAGATATTTTGGGCTTTGGGCTTAGGGTGTAAGCTCAGTTATAAATAGAGGGAGTAACCCCTATTTTTTGTAAGCAAGTCAAGCAAGTCATTCACAGTATTTTGCAGTTGCAAAGTGAATAATAAAGTTTTCACAATTTGTGAGCAGAGAGAAACTCTGCAGAAATTATTTGTCTTGTCTTCTTTCTTTGTTTGTCTCATAATTAAATTGTCATTGTGGTAGAAATTCATCATAGAGTTTTGGTGGATTTCCAACAGTACTCACATATGTATGGATGATTGACGGGGTCATGACGCCACATAGAAAAAGTCATTTCGTCCAGGACTGGGTCCTGCAGAACTTGTCACATATAGAATTTCATGTAGGACTCATCTGACTCATCGTGTTATGGACTCGTGCAAGTGTCTTGACTTGTTACACTTGGTTAATCATTGATGGTATGATTGTGTGGCCTAGGTAGCAGGCAAATACTACTTTTGGATTTCTCGTACACGGATACGAGTCTGCATACTTGTTTGTTTTGTACTGTTTTGTGTGTCTTGTTCTTTCACATTGGATAGTCAAGGGACTCTTAATTGTGATGCATGTGTCGTTGGGTATTTTTGTACTTGACTGTGAGGAAACTCCAGATCGATGGAAGATCCATTTTGATGCATGTACCCTGTAGAACTGAGAGGATCCATAAGATATGGGAACTCACTGAGATTTAGTAATTTCACCTCAATCCTATTATCATTTTTCAAGCACAGGTTAGAAGTAGAAGAATTGCTAGATAGTCTGCATTGAAGACAAGCTAATTGTATACTTTTTAGCTGAAGAGTTGAATTGTATATGATTTTATTTTTGTCATTTCCAACTTTTCTATGTTTCTATGTACCATTTATAGCATCATTACATATTATTTTAGACGTATATGTACGAGGTGTTACAAAAATACACGATTATTTGGCCCAGGTGAATGATCATCCACTTCTACCATGGACGCAAGAAGTAAATTGATCGACCAATACAATGAAACAAAGCGTAATTAATAAGCGAATGATACCATATTAAAGCTTAATTTGAGCTTCAATGAAGAGAATCTCAGATTCATCTTCTGTATATTTTTTGTTTTGTTTTCTTAACAATTCTCACAAATAGAGATTTATTTATATAAGCATGGAGACTAATGTGATTATGAGATAACAAACTATCTCTTGCATAATCACTTTCTTAACTAACTTCTAACCTTCATCCTTATCGTTATAACTAACTCCTTCTTGCTATAGCTAACTCACACTATTACATTCACTCTATTACATTCCAAATGTTAGAGATTTGGGTATGATAATCCTGGATAACTTCGAAGAATCGTGTTCGTACACTTTCCGAACAAAGTATTTCGACCCTATTCTTGCTTGGGTTCACGAAATCTTTGTGGGGATAATTCTTGAAGAACAATCTGTTTATGGCAAAAGAAAACTGATTACAAATGTAGAGAGAAAGTATTGTTTTTCGTTCGTGTCTGAAACCGAGGCCAAATGACTCCTTATATAGGAGATCAATAACTGAAACCGAAAAGACACACCTGTTCGGAAAAACGGTTATGTCGGTTGGGGACCGAAAAGACACACCTGTTCGGAAAAAAGGTTATGTCGGTTGGGGAAAAAGATTCAAAATTTTCGAACGGGGCGCTGCCCCGCACCCCGCCAGGGGCTTCGCCCCTTGGAACCCCGTTTCAATTATTCATATTCAATTATGCATTGGCTCGACGAGCGTGCACTCCGCACTTCCCTAACTCGTTTCCGAACTTAACGCATAATTGTATCGGCCTTTAGTAAATCACATTACTACTAAAATACATTGGTGATACTAAAATCACCAACACCTAATACACCCCATGAGAAAATGTGTTTTATTTTATAGTGGCACAGAATATTGTGGTTGCACGTGGCAAGCACATCAGGCCTTTTACTCTAATGTTTTTAAAAAGAGGGATGATGAATGGAACTTATGGACACAAATGCTAGAGATTTCAGGTATGGCTAGAGATTTCAGGTATGCATATGCTGGTGAAAATAGCTGAGAATGATATAGAAATTGGAATGCTGGTGAAAATAGCTGAGAATGATATAGAAATTGGAATGCTTACCAAGATGAAAGCTTTGATATTCTCTCTGCTGAACTTGATTTCACTCTTCTCATTTTCATGAACTTCCAACAAAATATCAAGTAGATCCCTAACATGACCACCTTCACTTTTTTCCTTCGTTTTCTTCCTTTCCTCTTGATGCTCCCTTATCACCATGTCCATCATTGTGTCAAACCTCTCCATAATCCCTTTAAGCCTTTTGTTCATTCCCTGCAAATCCAAATTCTTACAAAACCAAATATGATCTGATATATTAAACTTCCCTGCAAGCTCTGCCGCATCTCTCACCATCTTCCTAATTTCTTCAGAATCACTATCATTCTCAGTACAAACTTTTCTCATAGTCATCCTTGATATAATGCTATTGGTAAGAGTCAAGAGCTCACCGCCGACATCAACAGCCTCACCAGCTTCCCCTTTCTTTTGCAAAAGCCTCATAAACCTCAGAGTCTCTTGTTGCCTCAAGGGAAGGAGCTGATCAAGTGTTCTTCCCCCAAGAAGCTCTGACATGCACATCTTCTTCATGAACTTCCAATAGTCACCATATGGAGCAAACAAGAAACCCTTTGATCCATATGATAAGTAGTGAACTGCAGCACTTCTAAAACGATTGGAGAAATAAGCTTCATTGGTTTTAAGAAACTCCTTTACTATTTCTGGACTTGAGATTATTACATATCGCTTAGAGCCAAGGAAAAGTTGAATTATGGGACCATAGTGTATTGAGAGCTCGTGAAAACATTGGTGAGGTATTTTAGATATTAGATGAAGGTGTCCAATGATAGGTAGTGATGGAGGGGATGGTGGAGTAAGACTGTTCTTGTTCTTGTTTCTAGTTAGTAAGGCAAGAACTGCTGTTGCAGAGAGGAGCCAGAAGAAGAAGAGTTGGATATAGTATTGCATTTCAGCCATACTTGAAACTTTTGGAAGAAAAATATGGAAGTTTTGGTGGCTTGAAACATAAACATAGAGATAGCACATTCACTTTATTTGTACATAGGGATGTACTTAAGTTGGTAAAATGCCTATTACTGTTAGTGAAGAGTGTCCATCACCACAAAATATTTGAAAGGGACACAAATGTGTCGTACACACTCAAATTTTTCTATACATGTAATATTTAATTAATCATCTATAAAGATGTCCAACCTAAAGACTTCTAGGATAAATAAATTTTAACAAACTTCAACAAAATTATTTATTAGTGGAATTGATACGCATATAGTAAAGATTGTTGCATTTTTTAATATCCACTTTCTAATATATGTAATAAATTGTTAAATGAGTAAAGAGAAAAAAAAAAATTTAAGTACTGCCATTTTTTTTCTGGTGGCAACAATGGAGAGCCAACTACCAGCGAGCCGCGAAGCCAATGATCGGTCATCGGCGGTAGGTCACCAGCATGTATGGTAGAGTCTGACAATCCATGATGGTGGTCTGGTGGCGGTTCAACTTTCCACGATGGTAGTTTAGTGGTGGTTCAACTTTCCGCGATGGTCGGTTGGAGGTCAGTTAGCAGTGGCAGTCAAGGAGGATATCAGGTTTTTCGAGTTTGTTCGCAGATAAGTTCATTAATGAGTCATATCTTTGATCTATTAAAGTTTTGGCAGTTATAATCTATGAAGCACACACGCTTCTAGAAGTTGGTGTGTCGCAATGTCTGACATATATGACTCTTGTACCATACAAGCTAGTCAGACAAGTGTCAGCAAAATTAGATAAATATTCTTAAATATATTATTTATTTTCTTTATTTCGACATTCTTTAAATAGGTGTTTAACACATGTATGACACTCATACAACACGTGCCGGATAATTTAGAGAAGGGTTTAAAATAAGAATTTTGTTTTTTCCTTTGCTTTAGCAAACCTTATACATTTTTTAAGACAAATATAACAATCTAAAAGGACTCAACATATATTGAAGCAATGTTATATTTTTTATTAAGAAATTTTTTAACTCTTTTAATAAAAGATAGATCGACGAAGTTCAAATAAACTCATATATGTAGCGGTGTCGGTGTTTTATGTTTTTGAATCAGTGTCGGAGTGTCTGTGTTGTGTCGTGTTTCAGTGTCTCTGTCGAAGTCTGTTTTTCATAAGTTATAACACGATTCTCTCAAATTTGTTGTTGTGCATAAGTTAACAATTCAAGTGAGAAACAAATGATAGAGATTTCTAATATTATATTCTTGGAATTTAGCGGCCTTTTGTGCTTAGAGAAATGCTAAGAACAATCACTTTTTAACACTCTATTAAACACAGACTTTCTTATTGGTTGAAACATGCGTGGGTCCTATCACTTTATGTGAGATCCATTTCTAAAGTTAGAAACTCACACATATTTCAACTAATAAAAAAGTGAATGTTTAAAAAAGTGTTGAAAAGAGAGTGTTGTTAACAAGCCTTTTTGTGTTTATCAAAAGAAATTGTGAAAATATTTAAACACATTGTATTTGGGTGATTCATATTAAGATTTTGAGAGATTGTGAAATATTTGCGTAGAAAGTATGGTTCAGTTTGATATATATATATATATATATATATATATATATATATATATATATATATATATATATATATATATATATATATATATATATATATATATATATATATATATATATATATATATATATATATATATATATATATATATATTAAAATTTTTAAAGTCATGTTAATGGAAATATTGAAATTTTAGATAGTTTAAATTTTGTTGAAAAGTTTCAAAAATTTCAAAATTTTCAAAATTTCGAGTACCTTTTTCTTTCACTAATTTTTTCCAGTGAGGAGCAGAGGTAACAGATCCATTAGAGACAGGTTGATCAATAGAGAGGCAGCTCGAGTCAGGGATGTTGAGGTAAAGACTTCCCAGTTACGGGTTGTTCGGACCGATTCTCACCGAAAACATATGGTTGAGCAGGCGCAGGGCCAATTCTGCGCACCCTGACACTGAGCTTTTAGAGTTTCTGCTGCTGTGGAGGTACATGTTGCTGATGAGGCACCTCTTGCTGAGATTGATGTTGTTGAGGTTGTTGTTGAAGAGATTCATCTGCCGGCTGAGCAGGTTCCTATTTTTGAGGAGATTCCTGGGCTGGCTGAGCAGGTTCCTGTTGCTGAGGAGGTTCATGTGTCGGCTCAACATAAGGTTTGTTACTGTTGAAGTACACTTAAGCATGTTCGTTGGGAATTTGGACTTTTTAAATATGAAAGAAGAAATGAGGAATGTTGAAGGAAAGTTTGTTCTAAAAGAAATATGAGAGTATTTTATGAAGTGTTCGACTAACAGACCAATTAATAGTCAAATATTGTTAGATAATGGAGAAAGTTTTATGTTGTGGAGTACATGGGATTTGAGATATTTGAAGTTTCGAATTTGAATATTTTGACAAAGTCACATTGTTGGTTTTGGCGCTTCGAATTAAGGAAGAATTTGAATTTAAATGGTTTGATCTTATCCGAAAGGACGGATAGAAGCCTGAAGATTCGAAGAGCATGCAAACATCGAACGTGGCACTCTTATAGAGAAAGACCGTTATGGTCGAATCAGTATAAATTAGAGCCTTTATGTTAGATTTTAGTGTGTTCACTTTTGTACAAATGACTAAAATAAACTCGAAGTACCAAGTGTTAGAGAAAAGAGTTATTGAAAATGTACGTATGAAACACCAACTTTTATTCAAAGTCATTTATCTTTTGAATTAAGCCTTTTATATTTCATTTTAAGTTTAAGTCGAATTCATTTACATTCCAGTTTTTACTTTAAAGCCTTTTTTATCTTTATCTTCAAGTATTAGTCTTACTTTTACTTTCGTTATATTCATCTTTTCAATAAAGAGTAAATATCCATAAATATTATAAAACCAAAATTAGACACATGTCCTAGGATCAATCTAGTCGATCTTTTTAGTAATCAAATTATCTTTTGTCTTGGAAGACTAGTGGTTGTTTACCAAATTTCAGAGTAAACAAATTGGCACGCCCTATGGGACCAGTGTCTAAATTGTGTCACAAAGTTTTGTTTTGTGTTGTGTTGTATTCGGGCTATTTTGTTTGATATTGTTGTATAAGATTAAGAAGTTAAAAATTAGCCAAAACTAGCGAACCAATACCAAAAGGAAAATACACTAGGAAGATGGTTAACCCACCCAATAACAATGTATAACAACCACCCCATTTCACAAGGGAGAGTACAACTGCGTTATCTGCAACCGAATCGATATCCGTTCAAGCAAATACGACGAGAATATCAACAAATGCTTTTAGCGGTCCAGTTCTATCCCCAATGCATACACAGGGTTCCCTAATGACCACAAATTACCAGGGACGAACAATTTCAGGCATTTTGTGTTGGATTCACAATGCCAATGGATGGCCGCGATTAAATTTATGGCATGCCAACAACGATGATGGCTAGCCTAAATAATAGTGCATCAACATTCCTTGATTCGAGAGTATCTACCTTTTCACCATTATAAGGATTAAGATCAGGAAATAATAGCATAAGTCGAAATGTTCAACCCCCAGGATTCGCTCCTCAATTACCTACTCTCACAATGAATTCTGCAGTGGCATTTCAACAACAAATGGATGATAGAAATCATCAAATGATTGGTATTTTAGCCCAACAAATGAGTACAATATTTAACCCATTGATCCAATGTGCAACTCAAACCAACCAACAAAATGCCCAAATAAATCAGCAGTTGGCAGCGCAGATGGCGTGAATTGTAGACTTCTTGGGCACTCTCCAAGTTTCAGTTCGACAGGCACGTCGAGATTGGATAAGAGAAAATCATGGTTAAGTAGTCGAAGAGGACCCAACAATCAATCAAGCGCAACCAATTGTGCAAAATACTGGCGAAGTCTATCAGAGGCCAAGAATCGAACAACCCATGGTCGAATAAGCCATACCAAGGGAAATTCCAGCCCAAAGGGTAGTGATGGTCAACTATAACCAAGACGTAGACGAAATCCTTTAACGTGTTCGATAAGACGAATACCCAGCAGAAAATAATCTGCAAGCTATGGTTGAAATAATAATGGCTTGAAATGGGGGTAAATATAGGCCTTCAAAGGCCAAATTACACATTCCCTTTGTCTGAATATGTTCTGCAAACTGAATTACCTAGGGGTTGGAAAATCCTAACATTAACAAAATTCTCTGGTGACAACAGCGAATTCACTGTCGAACATATAGCCAGGTATCTTACAGAGGCCGGGGACATAGCAAATAATGAAAACTTAAGGATAAAATACTTTCCTAGTTCGTTAACCAAAAATGCTTTCACATGGTTCACCACCCTCCCAGCGAATTCCATCCATGATTGGACTCGCTTAGAGAGGTTATTCTATGAGAAATTTTACATGGGACAATCGAAGATTAGTCTCAAAGAATTGGCTAGTATCAAGATAAAGTTCACTGAACTAATTGATGATTACTTAAACATGTTTCGTTTGATGGAGGAAAGGGAATTTACACAAGTTCATGAACATGACTTTGTCGAAATGTCCGCAGGCAGTTTGGATTACTTCATTCAAAAGAAATTAGACACCCAGTACTTGAGGGAATGATGTGCGATCGTCCTAATGTGTCTAATGGTATCTTAACTGCAAGTGCACAGCCTATCGCGGTAGTAATAAAAAGATGTCGAACCCACAGGGACTTTGTAATCACTCTAGTGCTATAAAGGTTTGCTAGTTTAGCTAAGGCGGATGTTGTCACGTTTGGTTTTTAGAAGTTAAAGTAGAGGAAAACTAAATCGAACTAAGGAAATAATAATAATAAAGCGGTCGGTATGTAATATAGTGAAACTAAGCGGATTTAATCGAACCTAAGCATATAAAGATGTTTAACTTAAATGGTTCTGTAGAAATTATCAGTTTAAAAACCCTCAACTCACACTCTC